TTCTAGTCCTCCTCAAAGCGAAGGAAAATCATTGAAAATATCTTCCGATTTAAAAATATTTTTCTAATCTAAAAAGAAAGAAAGAAGAAAACATGCCCTTAAAAGTAGAAAAATTAAAGTCTGCATGGAAAATCTTTGAAGTTCAAAATAATCTCAACACAAAGTTTACTAAAACCTCTTATCAAACAGCAGTAGCAAGGAAAATAGGGGGGGGGAAAGTAAAATCTTAAAATATCTTTTAAAAAGATTTTACTAGTCTAAAAAAATATTGATATTCTACTTTACAGGATTTTTATCAAGTTAATTTGAATTTCAATTTTATTCTTTCTGAAAAATTGGTTCTAAATTTCTTTATTTGTATATTTACTGATCAATTTTGCAGCACATAATGCAAGAAAATTTTTGGAAGGATTATAAATTTTTTTAAAAAAATATTTGTATATACATAGTCCAAACACATCTGTATACAGTGGAATACGTTTATCGTGAAAACCTTAAGGCTAATATTGGTTAACACGAATAATGCAACGGTCCCGACAACTACTATGTATTTTCAGCATTTTGTTCTCTTACACAAAATTTTTAACATGAAAAGATATCCTTTCTGGAAATGAACAAAAACGAAAAACACTGGCATCGCTGGGGAGATTTAAAGCGGAGTGTGAAATGAAAGAGAGGTGGTTTCACATTTCCTTAGAAAAGAGGCTAATTGGCTTTGAAATACCCTCAAAATAGCCTGTGATACAAGCCAGTTTTGTTTATCTATGCTACTTTTGCCTTCCATCTCTACAAACATCTCATCTCTCATCAGTTAGCTTGGAATTTGGTGACGTACATAGTAGTGTGAGTAAAAATTAGTGATTTTGGCATATGATGCCTGCATGGAATCAGCGATTCTAAGGATGAATGAAATTATTTTCATTAACACGATTTCTCAAAAGTATTGTTCTTTGGCTCCAAAAGAAATGGAGAAGTAGATATTGAAACTGAGCTGACACTTAATGAAATTTTGAGAAAGTTTTCTGTATTAATGAACTGTCTTACTGTCTATGAAGAATTTGTTGCATAGTTTACGATAATGGGTACAGCCCCAATTATAGCAGACAAAGTTATTTTAGAGTTTGTTCAAGGTAAAAAATATCATTGATGCAGATTCTGATACGAAAATAAATGAATAATGCAATCCTGTTCCCACATCATCTAAATGGGAACATCATAAAAGTATGGACAATTATATAGACGCACATTCCAATGGTGAAATGATAGCAAATGTTGACATTGAACAATTTGATGCTAAAAAAAGACAATGCAAAGAAAATATCAGATTATTTTCCCAAAAATCAATAAATGTTTTGTTTTTCAAAAACTTGAAATTTTGTATTAAATTCCATTAAGTTCTTGTGGATGTTTTTGTTTCATTGATTTTATTAAAAATCTGCATATATACATATCTATGTAAATAATATGTACTCTAATAAGCTTAATTTTGTTGAATATATGTTTTTTTTTTTTTTTTTTCAATATTCTTAACACGAAAAATATTTCAGTCCCCTCTGTTTTGTGTTTAAATGATTTTTACTGTAGTCTATTGCACATAAATCCTTTCTTACATAAAATATAAATGTACGTATAAAATAACTAAATAAATTGTAAAGAAAGTTTAATTAGCAACAATGAAATCTTAAAAATGTAGTACAGTCAAAAGTCGTTAATTCGGACACCCATAATTCGGAATGATCTATAATCCGGACATCAAAACTAAAAACTTTCTGCGCATGCGCCGCGTTGACACATGCGCAGAGGCGTTCACGCGTCCGCGTAAGGCCTTTTACGACTGCGCATTTTATGTATAATGGACGTATAAGCTAAATAATTATCTATTTCAGTTAATGTTGATGATTGCGTTGTTCCTTAATTTTCGAATTGCATCCGGCTTATTATTTTTTGCAGACTGTAAGAGCAATTTTATAAAAGTAAGCTTAAACTTTCGATTATATCAAATAGAATTTCCGATATATATTTGTTAATATGTAAAGGATCTAAAGCGAAAGTATGTTTTGAAATCCGAAATCTGTTTATCATTTTCACGCTGCTCGGCGGCGGCGCGTAATGAACTGGAAGTTGATTGTCAGCACTATCCTTATCTTCAGCGCAGATGTTTTTATTTTATTTGGCTTATAATTCCTTACCAAATGTATTTCATCTCGATATGCTCCGTCTTTGATATGATTTAAAAACAAGTTCCTCGTCATTATAATTCGCTTCCGATAGCGAAGAAAAGTGACAGAGGTTATTGAAACAAAAAAATTTCGATTGACAAATTAGTCGGGTGTTCTTGACACAGCAATTATAGGACTTGAACGGCGGAACTTTGTAACTGAACAAGAAATTATGTCTGTTTAATAGAATTAAAGAGAAAGTATTATCACATGAAACGAAGCAAAACTTAAACAACTTACATTGAAAGAAATGTTTAATAAAGTAAACAAATAAATATTAAGCTTTTTCTTTTTGCAAATTTTGATACCCTTTAGATCATAATTGTTCTTTATTTCATAAATTACGGTTTCATATTTTTAATTTTGGAATTTCTGCATGCCATCTTACGAGATTTAAAACTGATGATCTATAATCCGGAAAAATCGATAATCCGGAATCGCCGAAGTCCCGACGAGTCCGGATTAACGACTTTTGACTGTATGAAATTTATAATGGCAAACATTAAAATAGATGAAAGTAAATAAAATTTAAATTATAGAATTTACTTTATAAAATTAATAACAAGTGGTTAAAAATATGTATTTTAATTGCTTAAATCATGGAAGTTATTTGGCAGAGACTGTTGGATATAAAATTACAACTTCAAATTTTCAGATTACTATTGTTCATATTTAAAGTCTCAATTTGCAGTCTTAACAACCATTGTAAAAATAACCCGTTATCATATTCCAAAGATCAGTAGCATACATTTTTTTCAAAATCGTGCATAATATTAAATATTGGCTTTTGATAGTCAAGTTGATACAAATAAGATGAACTGTTTTTATGATTTTAGACTAGTAGTTTATTCTTCCATTCACTTATTACAGTATTTCATTTTTTATATGCTCGACTATCCAAAATTTCAAGAGCTTTCCGAATATTTTTTAGTTGAATTTTTACTGTACACACATTTCAGTATTTATATATCGTCAAATTGCACAGACACACCACTTGAACTTTCTTTTTCGTTCATGAAAATCAAAGTTCATTACACAAACATGCAATCACACTGCACAAGCATGTATGGAATTCTTAACACATTAGTAATCCTGATAATTGATTACACATTTAGTAAATAAAACAAAATATTTTAATGTATAACAAATGAATAACGTTATAAACAGAGCATAATACTACAGTTCGAAGATACTTAATGTTATAAAAGTTAGGTAATTTTAGTTTTTCACAAAGCAATGAAATATTTTGATAATTATGAAGGTCCTTGTATATCTTTATAAATGAACTTTATTGCTGTTTTAAGCAATTAAACAACTGTCCAAGTAATTTTAATACTTTTGAAATATATACACTAAAAGAAAACATAAAATTTATTAATCTATTTGTCACCTTGATTTTGATATAGTCTGCAGATGCTTCGTAGTTTTAAGCACACAGAGGCACTGCAATTCTTTCTTATTCCTTGATCTAAAGTTTTCTGCAAGTTTTTTTTTTTTTTAATTTATTTATTTATTAAAATATGCTGGGTTGGCACATATACAATTTTTTTGTATAGTGACTTCAGGATGTTGGATATAGTTTTTTTCGAACAGTCTCGTTTTCTTTTTTACTGGCGTTCGTTGAATTTTGCGATGAATGCATCACATTTATTTCTGAGTATCACCTTCCAAATTTTTCATACTGTTAATGTATGTGAATGTCAGGCAGTGAATTATTCTCCTCTTTCTTCAAATACACTACGTTGATAAAAAATAACTATTCACTAAAGATTTTGCTTAAATTTCCACTCATAATAATTTAAATTGCGAAAATCTCACAATTAGCACCCAAAGTCACTAATCAACACCACAATTCTTTCGAAAACGCGCCGTAGTAGTCAAAAGTGGGGTACGCCGTCTTGCCAGGTGAAACTAGTCGATATTTCCGTGACGTCAAAAATTCGAAAAGTGGGGTAGGGTTTGGAAATACGCGGTTTGGACCTATCGAACAAAATTAAAAAATTACTAATTATGTGAGCATTAACCCAAAGAAAATTTTTAAATTAAAAAAAAATGAGCTAGATGAAGACATTTAAGTGAAAAGTTAATTAATAAATTTTGTATACATTAAGGTTTGTAACATTAAGGTAAGTCGTTATAATATAATAAAAAGGTAGTAAAGTTTAGCAAGATAATAACATTAAATTATTAATAACAAGTTAATATGAGATAATAATTTAAAAGGTAGTGAAACAGAGTCGGCTAATGGGGGAAGCATCTGATGCAAGCTTTTCAAGCCGGTGTCTCGAGTAAGGTCTCGAGATAGATGTGTCTCAGGATGGAAGCATATTGCCTTGTAGCAAGGCCAACTGCTTGTATTCCATGCTAAATACCTTGATACGAAGCATCTCAACACTGTCCATTCCCCCCCCCAACTATCATATTTATTCGGCCTTACCAAACATACTCACTGCACACACCTATAAGGCACTATTTCTTACAAATGAACGCAGATTTCTCTCCTTTTGACTACGCTGATGGACACAATCGTATTTTAGGATATTTTCTGCTTCTTTTCCTTACTATATATTATTTATAGAAAGAACTATAGGCCTTTTTATCTTCTCTCTATTTTTAAATTTTATTTGGCCACATCTTTTCTTTTTAGCATTTCGAACTCGTACAAAATGTACGAAGTTCCTTTTTACTCTCCTTTATGAAATTGCCGGTTCTCTTCGCAGGTATGATTTTTTGCACATTGGTGCTAAAAGACTTAGCGGAAGCAAAACAAGACATCTGTCTGCTTTGTCTGTCTGTCTATAACTACCACAGAGAGGTTTGATGTGGAAATTTCGGTTTCAGTTTGGTGTATTTAAAAAAATACAATAATGTTAGATCTGGAATGCGATGACAGTTGTTTTATGGAGGAAGACAAAATGTAAATTAATTTAAGTTGAAATGTGACATTTCATAATGCGAAATTATAAATTAAATAATTTTTGTTTTCTGATCGTAAGAAATAGAAAGTTTTTATTACTAACAAAAGTTCGATGGAAAGAATTTCGTATTTGAAAAATAAAAATGGACATTAAAAAATAATAATGTTTTTATTTTCTTTTTATAAAGAGGATATTTCTATTTTATTTTTGCTGAGTGAGGTTAGTTTTCAGAACGTACCGCATATAATTCACGCATATTGATTGTTAAATATGAATGAAGTAGTGCGTTTTGAATTTTTTCTTCTAAAGAAAATTTTTTTAACTAATGAAACTTAAATTGTTCATATTTCAAAACCTCACTCCTAATGTTCTTCAGCATAATTTTTTTTTTTTTTTTTTTTTTTTTTTTTTTTTTTTGTGTGTGTGTGTAATTTTATTTGATCTGCCCTACTCTACTATAGATAATTTGTAGAATTTTGTATCAGATTCAACCATTGTTTAATCAGTAAACTTTTGTTTGTATTTAATTTTTTTTTCATCAAAATATGGCACATTATTAAATTTATTTATACTGTAGTATGTACATGAATCTTTAATTTTATTTTCAAGATGTTTAAAAATACAGTACTTACATATTAACGCAACCAGGCCAAAATTCACATAAATCGCCAAATTTGGCGACACTAATTATGGCAACCCTACGTGTTATATGTAGTTTTGTAAAAAGAATTTATTTGTAAAAAGAAAAAATAACCCTCGGCGTGTACTACCACAGCAATGGGTTTTTGGTGGAATTTGCCGAGAAAAGAAAGAGACTTTTTTGGTTACTGTTACCTAACAGAAGCGCCATTACCCTGATGGAAAAATTTGCGAAAATATCAAGGAAGGAGCGTCATTTATTCGGATTGCTGGAAAGGATACAATACAAGTGAGTTCGAAAATGGCTCGATTTCTGCATGGAACTGTTAATCACAAATATAACTTTGTGGATCCAACAAGGGCGTTCATCACAACATGTAGAGTGGCATGTGGGGCTCAGCCAAATGGCGCAACAAAAAACAGAGAGGAACAGCCCGTCATCATCTTGACTCATACCTTATCAAATTTGGCTAATCTTTCGAATATGGTAACAGGTATTTTGGCGACATTTTGGTAAGGCAATAAAGGTTACTAGCTAGGACTTTAGCAGTGTACATGGATAAAGTCGAGTGTGCACAATGCCATTTTTGTGCAATTCTGGGATGTTTTTTAAAGTGAAAATAGGTCGACATGTACATGGATGATACCGTGCATGTGCAATTCTTAAAAATGCGGCAAGCAGTGGGCGATTCTGCACTTTCTCCCAATTTCACACCTAATCGTCCTCATGATTAAGCACTTTTGTTCCATAAAAGTTCTTGCATAAACGTAATTCGGCTAGCAGATTGAAAAAAAAATGTTTAAAAAAAAAAAAAATGCCTTTACTTTGTGAAAACAAATGGGCCCGAAACAAACTAGCAGGGTTGGTCACCATTTTGCCAAAAAATACAAGTACCTAATCCAAAGATTAGCCCAATTATAACCAAGTCAAGCTAACTCAAAAAATGTTTAATCTGCTGCTAAAAGCAACTTTTTCTACGAAATAATAATTCCAACTTGCCAACCTTCCAAACCGGGTTTCTATTTCTCGAAAAATGATAGGCATTTCTAAAATTAAATGCTTTCTTTTATTTGACTTCGCAAAGTTGTATTGAATCTGGTTGTATGTTTTGAAAGTGTAAAATGAATTATGCGAGGCATTTTAATTACTCTAACTTTTTTTTCAATTGTTATCTTAAATTTATTTTTATTCTTTTTATTGTATTTTTTATTTCTTTTTATTTTTTTGATTTTGTATGTTGTTTTTTAATAATTATGTTTTATTTTTTTAATGTTTTATTTGTTGTTTCTTTAAATTTTTATTTAGTTCACATTTTTAAGAATTTGTTTTGTGCATTATGAGTGGTGCTGATTACTGTAGAATTCGAACTTCTGATCCTGAAGAAATGAGCAATTATGAATCTCTGTTTTTGTTGGAGGATCGCATGTATGGTGTTTTATTTTACTTTTGGTAGTTTTATCTAGATTATATAAACTGTATTTGTTTAATTCAAAAAATTAACATTTCTAGGAAAGCATATTTCTTAAATAGTATATCATTGTAATAAACTAAATTTAGAGACAGCTAAAAGTTATGTATTTTTGTCATGAAAGCAAATGAAACCAAGTTTTTCTATGCTAATTGAGGATGCAATAATGATGCATTCCTTATGATACACTCACTATATATCAAAAGTTTTTTTGATAAATATGAAAAAATTCTTGGAGAGGAAGTGATTGCTTGTAACATTATTTATATATGCAAATAATCAGACTCAGATCCATATAAAAGTAAGATTATGAAAATTAAAGTTGAATCACAATTGAAATTGGTATTTTAAAAATATCAAACAGTGAATAAAAAATTCCTTCCCTAAATTCCAGTCAGAAACTATTCTTAATGTTTTAAAACAACTTTCTGTAATAATAAAAACTCACTAAAAGTTGAGAAAGGATTGCTAAATACTATTTGCACTTTGGATTTACTATTTAGTGACCAAGCAGGAAATAAAATTTAATAATAAATTACAGAGTTTGTAAGGTCCTTAAGTTTTTTGGAATCGATTTTTGGTCCTTAAAAGTCCTTAATTTAAGACCAAAATCAGCGGAAGGTCCTTAATTTTAATCATGCAAATTTTGAGGGTTTTGTTGTGTAAGACAGAATGTGTTTTTAATCTCCGCTTGCTCACTGCATTAGTTCCTGCCAGATCTGATAATTTGTAACTTTTTGTCTTTGCATTATCACTGCTGACATTTGAATTTGTATGACGATAGACTTACTGAGTCAGCTTAAATTAAAATTAAATTGACCACTAGTCCACATTTTTTTGTTTGAATTTGATTGGTCTTGTTTAATTACATCGCCACAAACTGCATTGAATTGGTTAGCATAAACATGTCTTTAAGCTCTTTTTAAATAAGAGGCTTATTCAAACTTTTGTCTGACTTTGTAGTTACTTTGAAACATAGCGTAACTTGCTTCACGTCTGTCGAGAGTTTTTAGACTATTTATCTTTTACTAGATCAAGTAAACCCTCATAGATATATTGTGGAGAGGTTGACAAGTTAAGAGATGAAGCACGCAGAAACTAGTGAGAACATTGGTTTGCATATTGAGAGGAATTTCTAATTCTTAGTAAAGATGCTTAAGAGAAGGAAATCGGTATAAATTAGACAAAATATCTGGCCAGGCTTCAAATTAAAAAGATGCATAAATATTTTGTTGAGTGTTTTTGCTACAAAACATAAATATTTTGTAGCTTTTAATGTATATTATCCTAATATTGTTTAAGAATCAATGACATAAATGCATGTATTTAAAGTATGAAATTTTATTAGATGTGATTTAATAGGATTTTAACAGTATTGTTAAAAAATAAGTAACATTTAATAGTGGTCATGTAAATTCATAATGACTAAGGTTATCTAACTACCTGCTTTAATTTATAACTAACTGCTTACCCTTAAAAATTATCTCTGCATATTAAAGTGAGTTATTGCCTTTCATTATTCCTTAACGTGGTACAAGGTAGAACACAAAAATGTAAAAATTCATGTAAAACTTATTCTTCAGATCTAGTGAAACGTAAAATAATACAAAGCAACTTAGTGTCACCTCTGGTGCTTTAGTGGCTTATTGGAACCTTAAAGTATATTAACTGAGTTACAACCCCTGGAACTCTACATGGAGCTACAACACTCACTGCAACAGACAGAGCCCAACTAACTTTCAAAACTAGCTAACCGTGCCCACATTAGGCCTTTCAGTTTTGTTCTGATCAGCAGGTCTCTCTCTAGGCAAGAAGCAGCAGTGACAACAACCAGTCTTTTGTTATAAATCATTCTGATTATGATTTTACTTCTCATTTTAATCTATAACACGTGACATAAAATCTACCTGCTATTTATTAAACGTCTAGATTGAACAAGTAACAAGACCAAAAAAAAAAAAAAAAAAAATCAACGTGAAACCAACTACTAGTAAAACGTAAATAAAATGTCAGTTATCTTCTTTCAAATATGCCGAACTATTGTAAATGTAAAATATTTAATGCTGTTTGATAAATTTCATAAAGTATATTTTATGCTCAAACTTATTAATGATTATGTTATTTAAGTTATGTTTAATAATAATGTATCCTACTTACAGATCTATTTTAATTTTTGGATGGTATTACAAAAGTGAAATTCAGGCATTGATAATATTTTTAATTGAATTTATTAATTTGTTATTTGCTCATTGGTCCTTAATTTGTTTCATTAATGGTCCTTAAAAGCCCTTAAAAGTACTTAATTTCAATATGCAGAAATGTGTATGAACCCTGAATTAGAACACTTTTGAGCCTAAAATAGATTTCCTGGTTATTTTGCATTGTATAAAATTATGTTAACTTTATTTGTGAAAGTGTATTCTACTGAAAATTAGTTGTTCAAAAATAGAATATAATTTCATTTGCAAATTCAATTTAAATTTACTTAAGTAATTTTTTTCTTGAAAATCATTTATTTCTCTAGATTGTAATTTATTTATTTATTTCCTGCCAATATTTTATGAAAAATAATTAACCTTGTTACTATAGCATTTAGCATTGTTACTATAAAAGAATTTATACATCCTCTCACAAATAGGGGTATGACAGTGACCAGTGGCAGTGTGACACTGAATAAAGATGAAAAAAACCTAATTGGAATAAGTATTGGAGGAGGAGCTCCTCTTTGTCCCTGCCTTTATATTGTGCAAGTGTCAGAGAATGGACCAGTAGCTACAGATGGAACTTTGCAGTGTGGAGATGAAATAACAGCTGTGAATGGAGAATCTGTGAAAGGAAAAAGCAAGGTGGAGGTAGCAAAGATGATTAAAAGTGTAAAGGTATTTATTTATGTTACATAATTAATTATAATTCTTCAAGAGGTAATTTTTGTGTATTTAGGAAATAAAAATTTTGAAAAGTATTTTCTAAAATAACAATCTTTATTTTTTTTTTATTCCCAGTTTTCGTTAAAGTAGACTGAAGGCTGTGCCTTGTATTATCACAAAGTTGTTTCATTTATCGCCAAGTTGTTGTTCCATTTATGGTAACCTGAGTAGTTGAATGTTATGGAAACCCTATTATGACGTAATTGGTTTCGTTATTGCAGTAAATTTTGAATTATGGGAAAAGATTTCTAAGGGCTTGTGGTGTGTGTTGGTTAAGAAGTACATTGCTTGTTTTGTGATTTAGACAGTAGAATGGCTGAATGTGGTAAGATTAATTTGAAGCATCTGTATGATTTGGAATGAAAGGGAAAAAGAGTTTTAATTGAGTGGTCTGTAAATGAAGGTTTACTTAAAAGTTATTAGAAGTGTCCTGTTTGTAGGAAGGAAATACATATGGTCGAACGGAAGATATCAGCACTACAGAGGATATTTTTTACTATTATTTTTGTCAATTTATGTGGCGTCACCTGTATCCAGATTCTAGTTCAGATAATTTTAGAAAGTTTTTGGATGCTGGTAAGGAATTTTGTTTGAACTGAAGAAAGGGAAATTTCTAAATAAGGTAAGTGGAAATTTTCTTTGTGCAGTGCTAAGATGAATTTCCTTTTTATGTTATTTGATTGCTTGATTTAAAATGTAGTTTATTGAGATTATGTATTTTGTATTGGCTGCTCCCTTGAATTTTGTTAAGTGAATATAGATCGTGTGTACATATTCACTATATTCACTTAACAAAATTCAAGTCAAAGGAGTGTGCAATGCCAAGTTTGTACAATTCTCTGATTTTTTTTAAAGTGAAAATAGGTTGATCTGTACATGAATAGCGAGTTTGTACAATTGTTTGACCTGTTATTTTGCCTTTGTGTAGTGGCGTTTTTTTTTTTTTTTTTTTTTTTTTTTTTTTTTTTTTTTTTTTTGCCACTACGCAAAGCCAAAATAACAAGTCAAAGAATTGTACAAACTCTGTATTCATGTACCGCCAAAAATCGAAGTTTTTGCCAAGTGTCACCTGTGAATATATTTTTACCCCAGTTTTTATTTGCTTAATTAGAGATGATATTTTTAGTCCTTTGGAAAAGATGATGAAAAACTTTAGATTAATCTCTAAACTGATAAATCATATAACTCTACTGATGTCACAATGCTGAAGAAAATTCACAAATGAAAATCAGTTGTATATATCGATCTTCATTTATATTAATAATGACAGTGCAGTAATGGATTCCTCAGGAGAGAAGGATCGCATTACAGTAACTGAAAGAGAACTGTTTTTTAAAAGATCATATTTTTTAAGATTTTAAGATAATTTAATTTTTAAAAGATCAGAAAGTCAGATTTTAAAATATGTCACAAAGCATATTTTAATTTTTCATCATATTATCTTAATGCTTTGGATTTTGGAATATTTTTTTTAAAAAATTGTTATTGTAAATTTTATAATAATTCATATTATTTATTTCTAAATGTAATCAAATCTTCAGATTTTTATGTTTTTTGTTATTTTTATAAGAAAATTACCCTATGCATTTAGCTAGCATCCACATATTCACTATCGTATTTCTGTGTCTCGACTTTATCATTATCTACTTCCAGAGCTTGATTCTCATATTTCTGCTTTTAAGTAACAATTTATCATAGAGCAACCTAAATTATACTTTTGTACAGAGTGATAAGGCAATACAATTTGTTTCATGTATCTATTTTCTATTTTTTTAGGGTGAAGTTTGTATAGCGTACAACAAACTACATGCTGATCCTAAGCAAGGGAAAACTTTAGATATAAGTATGTTATTTAAACAAAAATAATAATAATAATAATAATATTGTAAAATATTAAATGCTTTTATAAAAAACTTTTGGTATCTTCAGACAGAAATATATTAAATTTTTTATATTTATTTCAGTTCTTAAAAAAGTCAAACATCGTGTAGTAGAAAATATGAGTTCTGCCACAGCAGATGCTTTAGGTTTAAGTAGAGCAATATTGTGCAATGGTAATCATGATTTCATTTTTGTTGAAAAAATATATGTTCTTAAAAATACAAATGTTATGTTTTTAAAAATTTATTATATTTTATAAATTTACATTTATATTTTTCAATAAAGGAAAAAATCAAACTGTGAATAATATATATTGCTGAGTTTTCAGAATAAATTATTATATTTTGAAAATAAAATTGCTATATGTAATTAATATGTATATGGAATACAAATCTTGAATTGTGCTCTGTATCTGAACTTTTTAAGAATGCTTGGAATTAAAAATAATAAGTTCATAATATTTTCATGATACCAGCATCTAGTACCTTGATTGCTCTTCAAAAATGTATTCAAGTGAGAATTACCATTAAGTGAGTAAATAACGTATTGAAATTCAGAAAATGTTTAGGGACAGATTTTGTGAAATGAAATTTGTTGTTTACATTCTAATCAAACTATGATACTTCCATTTGCATATTAATTTTATTATAAACTTAGTAGTTTAAAATTTATTTCTATTTACTTGTAATATTATCTTACTATTACATATTGCATTTTAAACCTACTCACTGCTAGCTCAGTGTAATAAATTTTCTTCAGCTGAATTGAATATAAGACCTGCCTAAGTAAACTAGTCTGAAAAATATTCTCATTTTGTTGAAATATAGTTACTTTTATTTGCTTGGCAATACCTTCTTCTGTGCAAAGCCGGTTTCCTATTGTGGTAACACTCAGTTTTTCCTACTGCTTTAAGTCTTAAGAATTAAGTGATAATTCCCCCTTCCTTCAGCTGGCATTGAAACTGTCCATTTTGATTTGAAGCTAGTACTCTGAGCACCAAATAATAGTTTCCTGAAAATGTTTTATTTTCACTTTGCAAGCCAATTACTGCAGTTCTCACGAAAACATTGCTTACCATTTTTCTTTCAAATGAAATATATGCTACTATTAAAGCATTCCATTTAGAAGAAATGTTTTCTGTTATGATTAAAAATAATTTAATTAAAAATATAAATCTAGGTCTTTGTTTGAAAAATAAGCAAAGCAAATAAACATGCATAATAATACTCTGCACCATCAGGGATGACCACTGATCTGGCATTTAAGTAAATGTCTTCCAGTGTACTGTCATCCTGGCAGATGAAAAACCTCAGTGGGAAAATGGACGGCGTAATTATTGTGACTACTCAAGATTTACAGAATGCAGGACCTACATAAATACACAAGGTTCATAACTTATAAGGTTTATAACATATATATACCAGGTTCACTACATAAGTATACAATGTTCTGGTGAGTACATTCATTGTGCAAACTGATACACTTATTGCTTCTTTTCATGCATTATTTACTTTCTATTTACACCATCTTTAATGATTTCGATGTGCGTCCATATGTACCCCAAAATCGTGATTAACATTATATACATGAGGGGATTGAGTTTAAGCAAAAGTGTGAAACATTATACAGTGCATATATACAGTTCTGTTACAGCAGTATATAAAATTAAAGTAGTTAAAAAACATTTTCATTGACCTTGAAGTTCTTTATGAATGTTCAACTGCTGTATAAAGGCATTTTTAGCAAATGCGAGAAGTAGTGAGAGTAATTAAATATATGGTACGTAAGTAACTGCATTTACAATGTTGTTTTCTATACTGTACTATGAACCGATTAACTTAAGCTATATGCCTGTAGTTTGTAGCTGAATATAGCTAACTCAGAAAGTGAAGAAGCTAGACTGATATTCCTGTTACTTTGTGGTGATACGTTGAGTTATTGCAACTAATACTGAGGGTGTGGTAGTTGTAAGAGGAGTACAGTCAAAAGTCGTTAATCTGGACGACCATAATCCGGAACTCAAAGCTACAAATTTTCTGCGCAGGCGTCAACGCATAATGCGTTCACGCATGCGCATAATGCGTTTATGCATGCACATTTAATGTATAACGGACGGTATAAGCTAAGCTAAAATGATCTAATTATCTATTTCAGTTAATGTTACAGATTTCGTCGTTCCTTAATCTTCGAATTGGATCCGGCTTATTATTTTTTTGCAGACTGTTAGAGCAATTTTATAAAAGTAAGCTTGAACTTTCGATTATGTTATCAGGGCTCGTGTTCTTCTTTACTTGCTTTGGAAACATTAACTGTCCTGATTCGGAACAGGGAGCTTACTGAAGCTATGTTCAATAAATTGTGAAGTAGACAATACATACAGGAAGGGTATACGAAACCCTTTATTTTTCTCTCTTTACAATGATTTCCGGAACTTCGGAATACAGAGACCAACCACTTGTGGTCTGAACGTAAGAATATAAAAATATTAACTAAAACTCTAACTAAACTAACTTTGGATTAATAAACAAGTGCCTAACTCCAAGATTGGCCGTAAATTAACGAAAAGCCGTACGTAGTACAGAGAGCTGCTAAAACTACGATACGTTTAAAATTATCACGAGGATTAAACCTCTGGCCTTGAAGGCAACCAGCAACCGAGTAAAACTACTATGGCAAGCGGCCTGCTTCTAATAACTCCTTCCTCTCTCTTGCTTGGCAAAAAGCCACAACTTAAGTACTTGGCGTTAGCAAGACAAATTTGCATAAATAAGTTAAAAGCTTTTAATTCTGGCCGGAAGTAGAAAATAAGAAGTGATAGTAAAGATTTAAAGTAGACACTGCTAGGAATTTTTAGGTGCTCATAAACACATGAGTCTGTGTCTTGTTTTCCAAATCTGTGAAGGTAAAGGACCATTGCCTGTGTAAAATAGGGTCTGTGCTCCACTATGTGTCTTTGTAATGCATGAAACTTTTGGGAAGAACTAGTATGTCCTTCTTCCTGTATTTTCATCATCCCATCTCTTTTGCTACTCTTTTATAGATAATTTAGTGTAGTTCTCTTCAAATATGACAATGGCCTGGTTACTTGGCTTTCGAGTTGATTAGCTGCAAATTTAGCATGTAAGTCTGCTATTTAATTCCCAAATATTCCCACATGTGCGGGAACTCAGACCAGATTGGTCGTAGAAGAAATTTTTATGTGTTCTGTACTACTGACTCCTACTTCCTTGTCCTCGAACTGCCTCCAAGCTTGAGGTTGAGTTGCTAAGTAGTTGTCGTTTGAGCTATATGAAATTTGGTCAAATTGATTACAGTCAAAAGTCGTTAATCCGGACTCGTCAGGACTTCGGCAATTCCGGATTATAGATCATCAGTTTAAATCTGGTAAGATGGTATGCAGAAATTATAAATTAAAAAATGAAAAGTGTAATTATGAAATAAAGAACAATTATGATCTAAAGGGTATCAAAATTTACAAAAAAAAAAAAAAAAAGCTTAATATTTATTTGTTTAACTTTATTAAAACATTTCTTTAATGTAAGTTGCTTCGTTTCATGTGATAATACTTTCTCTTTAATTATAAACAGACATATTTTCTTGTTCAGTTACAAAGTTCGGCTGTTCAAGTCCCGTTAATTGCTGTGCCGAGGAATACCGACTAACTTGTCAATCGAAATTTTTCGTTTCAGTAACCTCTCTGTCACATTCTTTCATGTCTTTATCCATTTTTTGCAGCATTCCAACTTTTTGTTTGATGAACATCGAAACATACTTTCTTTTGTACGATCCTTTGGAGCTCCAGATCGGAAATTCTATTTGACATAATCGAAAGTTCAAGTTTACTTTTATAGTATTGCTCTTACAGTCTGCAAAAAATAATAAGCTGGATCCAATTCAAAAATTAAGGAACAACGCAATCATCAACATTAACTGAAATCGATAATTAGATAATTTTAGCTTATACCGTCCGTTATACATAAAATGCGTACGCGAAAACGTATTCTGCGCTTGCGCACACTCATATGCGCAGTCGTAAAAGGTCTTACGCGCACGCATAAATGCCTATGCGCATGTTTCAACGCGGCGCATGCACAGAAAGTTTTTAGCTTTGAGGTCCGGATTATAGATCATTCTGAATTATGGTTGTCCGAATTAACAACTTTTGACTGTACTACTTTTATTGCAAAGAAGCTCTGCCTGAAAGATGGAATTTTCCCCTTCTAGGCATTTTTTCAAGTTTTGACCACTTCCTTAAAGCATGCAGTATGCACAACTTGTGCCCTCTTCAATTTTTAAGTCTTCTGTATAAATGGCTTGGGCTTTCTCTTCGTATTTTGTAAGTGCACTGTGTGCGTTAAGTCTGACTCTGTCAGGTCTCTGACTCTGCCTGTCCCAATATGATCGGCTTATACTTCTCATAGTTTGTGTGAATGAATGATTTCTGCCACAGGGTTACATTCTTTTCAAATTGCAGTGACCTTACTAGTAAGGATTCTGTCTACATTTGTAGGTCAAGTGGAGGGATGCCGTCAACACTTGTAATGCAGCAGTAGGAAATGTTCTGTACACTTTGCGTATGATCAGTAGCTTCATTCTCTGTCCTGTTAAGAGAAACCTCCTCATATGGGCAGTGAGCTTCCTGTCCCATATGGTGGCTCCATATAAAATAATTTTCTCCGAGATTGTATTTTATCAGGTTTTTTGGAATTTTTATTGGGGTACACCAATGAAGTTTTGTTTTTCTGATCATGATGTTACTTAGCTGATTCAATTTTTGTTTTATCTCTTTGAGTTGATTGCTCAGGGAGCTTATATCCATTTATCTCCCAGTTGTTCATATATCTCATATATGCGGCCATTGATGAAAAGGCGAAAGTAACATCTGGCCAGCCTTTTACTCTGTTATTGTCGAATGTTGGCCTTGAATCTTCTGTGTTTACAACCATCAGTCTGTGGTCTGTCACATATTCTAGCAATTTCTATACTCTAGGACTTGACTCTATGTTTCCCATAAGGGGCTGGTTGAGTGTCTTAAGATGCTATCTGTTTTTTTTTTTTTGTTTGTTTGAGAGATTGCAGTTGGTACAGCTAATTGTTATGGAATTGCACTTTGCTGACAGATGTCACTTGCCACACTTGGAATAGGCTGGCTGTGACTTCCAGTTATGTCTAT